TGAGAGTTACGGGAAGCTTTAATGAGACATCCTTGGTACATAAGAAATGTGGAGTTAAAAGACAAAATAGACACAGTTTGGTTTCTGATGATAAGCTGAATACCTCTGTGAAATGTTGTTTCCATTCTGGTTTTGACCTTCAACTTTTAAAAGATTGTTAAATAGTTGGAGAGGCCATGTGACTCACATGGTATGCACATCGGTCCTCTTGACCACCAAAACACCCCTTTCTCTTTTTGATACTAATTCTAAAATATATGCAGTGTTAAACTTTACTACTCCATATGGGACTGTGCTGATTCTGTGTGTCAGGGGAGTGTTAAAGATGGATGGATACTTTACTAAATGTTTTCTATGGATGACTCATAACATCTTAGTTAATCTAATCTAAGTTTACTGTGTGACGAAGAAGAAGAGTCTTCCAGGAGTGTGTGGAAAAGATGTGCACTGGCAAGTTTTCTGAGAATGCACAGGGTCGTCTTCACCTTCTTCCCGCTTCTCCTCTAGGGCCTCTGCTCTGCAGAACTGGGAGGAATTTTACGGGAAGAGCCAGGGGGAAGTGAGTCATCAAGTCTGGCCATGCATGGAGAGGAGCTGGGCAGACAGGGTGTGTGTGGCAGAGGCCCCGTTTATAACCAATCACAGACCTGATCTTAGCCAGTTGCCTTTCTTGCAGTCAGAGACATTCTAGTGGGATGGCAATAGAGATGTTGTTGATGGTGAATAAACTGTTTAAACCACATGACAGAATAGAAATTCTGCTGCAGAATTAACCACAGACGTAAATTAACAGGCTCAAAAACATCTGGACACAGCCCCAACAGGCAAACACCACAAACAAGTTGGAGTCAGAGGAGAGGACGACAGCCAAAGTCGAAGAGAGTCAGGGCACCAAAAACACAACACATGGCAGCATGCTCCGTGGAGGCAACTGCTTCAGTTTGTAGCTGTGTGTTATGTAATGCTTTGGCAGAAAAGCTGGGGTGTAGCCACTGGGGCTTTTCCTGTCAGGCAGTCTGACGGTTTGGGCGGAGAAGCACATAAATAGATGATGGAGAACCACATCACTTCCATATAGAGGTCCATGAGTGTGACACGGCACGACTGATAATACCACATGTTCAGATGTTGTCCACTGTTGATGCGTTTCCAACTGCATTCAGAGGGAGTCCTGTCTGTATCAGACATTCTTGAAAAAATTATTTGTGAACAATCATGTGTGCCTGCAAAGGAATTGACCTTAAAGGAAATGGGAATTTTGGTTTGCTTTGTTTCTGAAAGTTAAATGAGAGGATTGATACCA